TGTTTGCAGTCATAAACTTAAAGCGTGTCCTGGTTTTGTGGCCTTATGTAGTAAAGAAAGCTGTACATAAACTAAATGTAAAAAGTTTCTTCTGAAAGGCCTCTCATTAATCCCTCCTTGAGCTTTCTGCCTATTAAACAACTGATAAGGGACTCTACTATTAAAATACTAAAATACATAAACAAGTATTCAATTTTATGGGGTTTGTTTTATAGTTGTCCCTAATAAAATGGAACAAAAATTGTATTAGATTCTATACAGTGGAATCAATTTGCATTGTTCTGACTCCTTACCTGACAGTGCTGAAAAGAAGGAAGAGTTGCTGTGAGCCACAATGTGCCTTAATAGGACAGAAGACAAAGAGGTGACAGTACCAGTGGAAGCAGTGCTTGTCTCAGTGCAAATAAATCAACAAGCATTGAAAGTCCTGCACAAATGCAGGATCTTTTACCCAAATGCAGGATCTTCTACGCAGATGCAGATCTTTTACCCAGAAAATGTACACTGAGTTTGAGTGAGGGCCTTAGCTACACTGATAATTTGAAACAGAAATTTGGAGCTCTTGATCTAATGCAGATGCATATCAGAGACTGTTGCACTATTTAACTGTGATCACCTGGGTCTAGGTGCATGTAACTGAAATAGTGGTAGGAGCTGTCACATTTCTGCATGATGTCTTGTAAGGCTGCTGCATCAGTCTTAGTGTCTGGATTTGTTAAGGCCTGGAAGTTTTCAAAACTCAGTGGGGATTGATGCATTCAGATTAGGGCAGGTTGTGTAGCCTCTTCCAACATTTGCCTATTCTGAGAATACAGGTGCTCTGTGTATTTTGGTGTTGCCATCACTGCTTAAGAGCCCACAATTCCCGTTACTTGGTGTATCTAGAGGTTTGCCATTGTTACAGTAGCATCTCATGCTGTCTTTCATTGTGAAACCGCTGCTGTGCCATCAGGGTCCAAAACCTATGGAGATGGAGACAGCTGTTTGCTCTAACTACATGTCCTCCTGAAGAGTGTTACAGTGTTCTGCCTCGTCTGCTGACTGCTCAATTCAAGAGCCAGAATTAAGCTGGAAAATACAATATTTCCCAGAAATGGGAATGGTATGTGGTCCCTCCTTTGCTCCCTTCATGCAACTCAGCTTTTAAAGATCAGGCTGTGGAATGGGACTAAGAGCAGGAAGTTACCAACCTTGGGAGGTAATTGCATTGAAGGTTCCCCAGTAGCTTTGCAGTTTTGATGCGGCAGAATGTGTGTTAACTTTCCACTCATTTTGCAACAGCATTTTATGTTTATACATAAATTTTTTTCTAGTGAGAGCACACTTTTCAGTTGAAGTCACTCTTAGCAACAAGATACTTTGAAGAAGCTTGCAAAATAAACAGAGAAAAACAATGACTGTTTCGTGTGAGTTGCCTTTTTGCTTTTCTGTGCTTGCAGAGACGAGTTATTGCCTTAGAAGATATGGTTTTCTGCATTGGTGGTCTTTTTGGCAAAAACTTCAGTTGTTCCCACTTTATGGAGCAACTGAAATAATGTTGATTCAGTTATTTTTCTCCTGATGGTTATGTTTATGTTTTCCTTGAGAAGAAAAACTGTTCTATTGTATTAAAAACAAACAACAAAAGAGGATACTTTTCCCATGCTTGAAGGGTAAGAGAATCACCAGTCAAAGAAACACCAAGCTTTCAAAAAGCAAACGGAACATGGCATTTATGTCTGCTGCTCAACCTTTGAAAGCTGAAAAAAGGCATAAAGTGTCCATGCTATTGATGAAATACACGCAGCACAAGTTTTTAAATAAACTGTAGATTTGCCAAACAATTGTGGTATGAACAGCAGATCTTTGTGCCCTGATGCTATTTTTGATTCTTCTGCAGCGCTTAGAACTTGGTGACATTCTTCCCAACCTCAACCAGGAGTCTCTGACTTCTTCCACCTCATCTGTTCCACCTGCTAGCTCCTTGACTTCTTGCACTGCATTCTGCTGCTGAACAAGGATAATATATTTCTCCTGGGATGGCTGTATTTGCATAAGGGCAACAAAGGTTTTGTAAATAGAACATATTAGTATGAAGAGGAGAAAATAAGTATGGTCTGCAGGAGGCTGGGGCATGGTCAGGTCTTATGGACTGAGAGAATGCAGGTGTCTGGCTGTGCAAATTGTGGATTGGAGGGCAGACAGAATGCACTTCATTAACCAAAACTCAGAATTTTACAGTCCAGTTCTGTAGCTTGTAAGTACTAGCTGCTTAGGAGGTCCTAGCCTATTTACTACAGCTACATACACAGTAAGGTATTCTATTGCTTTTAGCAAGAGAAGGATAGGGAATACTTTCTGGTGTCTGACTGCCCTATTTGTTCATTGTGCATGCTAGTCCAGCAACATTCAGTGTTTGCTCTAATCTAACATAGTTTTGGCTTCCAGAGGTTAGAATTGAAGCATATACTGTATTCTGCTAGAAAGATACCATGTCCAGTGATGTTTTGTAACAATTTATGTCTTTGATATAGAGGAAAATCTGTATTTCAGGATTTAATTTTCAGATCTGTGCAACTGTACGGTCTTCATGATTATTTCAGCTAGATTACAAAGCGATCTCTCAGTTGTTGAAGTAATACGTATAGAGAAAGAAAATCAGCTGTGGGTGAGCACTTTTGAGACTCAACTTTTGCAAGCCAAGAATTTGCCTACAGAATAGAGAGAGATGAGATCTGCGCGTGTGTGTGTTTAAGTGTAACATATATGTGTTTATGTATTTAAAAAAAAAAAAGATTTACCTATTTCTTCCAGGCTTTCATATTCTAGAGGTTCTGGAGGTGTGTGTCATTACTCAGTGCTTGTACCTAATGCCAAAACAGCATCTAGAATTTCAACATTTACAGAATCACAAAATCAATTAGGTTGGAAAAGACCTCTGAGATCATCAAATCCAACCTGTGACCAAACACCAGCACGTCAACTAGTCCATCGCACTTAGTGCCATGTCCAGTCTTTCCTAAAACACCTCCAGGGACGGTGACTCCACCGCCTAATTGACTACAAGCATCTAATTGAAAGATTCAGCTCTTCGAGTCTCTTCTTACAACTGATATTAAAACAAAATTAAAAGATTCAGTTCACTTTAAAGAGATGCAGGTTTTATTTCTCTTTTTAAATGCTGTTTGCTTGTAGGTATACAATTTGTTCTTTTCAATATGACCAGTGTCTGTGTGGGTGGCGTCTCTCACTGAGCTTAGCAGTAAATAAGATGTGTAAAAACAAATGTAATGTTGAAACGTTTAAACAGGAATGAAAACAAAAGGGAAAAGGGAGTTGCATTGGTTTCCTGAATGAGCAGGTTGCAGCGGTGTGGATCTGCCGACTGGATAAGGTCTGGGGGGAGAGCTCCCGGGAGCTATGCTTACATTTGCACTGATCCTCTTGCTTCCTCCCCACTGGTTTGGTCACACGATCTTTTTAGAAGTGGGAAGGCTTTGTCTGAACACTGTCAGATTGTGACTGCCTACCAAACAGGGAACACTGATTACAAGCAACAGACGGCAAGCACATTTCAGTAGTAAGTCCTGTCTCATTTTTTTCACTACTCCCAGGTAAGGAGTTACATGGTAAGGATGGAAGGGGCCTTTATGTGTGTGTTTGAACAACTGTTGCCACAAGTCTGGTTTGAGCTATACCAGAGCTATACCGTGCTGTTTCTAGCTACCAGAGTTGCACATGGTGTAATGAAATGGAGATTGCTGTGGGTCAGAAAACACAGTAAGTTATACACTGTGTGGCTATGATGGCTCAATAGGAGCACCTATGGATGGAAGAAGCATTAGATACTTTTAAGCACTGTTGACATGCAGTAATTTTTTACCACTTTGATGAAAACAATCAAATTAGCACTTAAAGCTTGGAGAGGAAAATATTTCTTTTATACATGAGATAAAATTGCATAAACAAATGTGTGCTATTGAGAGAACAAATTTTATTTCAAATGCAGAGCTTTAAGGTTGAAAATACAATATGTGAATGTGAAATTTTTTTTAGGAAGATTTTTACTCTTCTGTACAGACAAAGTTTTCAGTGAAGTGTTTACTAGCACATGAAAAATAGCTTTCTGTTTAAAATATACACAGATTGAATTAGAAGCAAAATTACCATGGTCGGTGGAGATTATATATAGCCTTAAGAATTTCCTTCCACTTGTGTAGTGGATCTTTCTATAATAAAAGTTTAACCCCCCATCTAATTTTAGAATGTACTTATTTTAGGTGGATAGCAACCTCAGTTCTTTCAGGTAGTTGAAAAGTCACGCAGTGAGATATTCTGGACTTACAGTATAACAGCTAATATGTGAATTCTTATATCACAACACTGTGGTTATTTTGTAATGCTTCTGTGATAATCTTAACTCTTAGGAGAAGTATTTAATACTTTCTTTGCATATTGGAGCTTTTTATTTGTGCACTTAAGCTGCTTGAAACACAGGATAAACAAAACCCTTTCTAAACACACAGAAAGATTAGTATCTGGAACCCCCAGAAGTTGAAGAGTTAATGGTGGGGCTGCACTGGATTCACTGTATTTGCAGATGTTGCTGCAACCAACTGCTGATTTTTCTCCCATCCTGTCAGGGAACTCTGCCAGCTGTGATTCATGGAATGATTTTTTTGCGCTGAGTAATATGTGGTTTTTCTTTTTTCCTCTTTCCTCTCCCTTATTTTTACCCTAAACTAAAGCCCTATTCATTTCAGCTAAAGGGAGGAGAGGCATCCAAATCATTAATACAAAACATTAAATACACTGTGTTTTGAGTGGAGGAATTTTACCAAACATTAAACTTGCAGTAATTTTACTTGGTCTTAGGCAGACTAGTCCAGTGTGGAAAAACAGTTTCAGAACAGAATCAGCTTTTGGTTTTGCTAGTCATATGGTTTTACAGTTCTTGTAAGACTTCTGTACTAGTATTGCTAAAGAACTTCTGTGCTGATATTATGCCTCCTTTCTCACAGATCGCTCAGAAAGAAATAAACCAGACTGCCGCTCTTCAGGGTAAGAACCATATTTCTGTATTTATTCTTCCCTTTTTCTTTTTTTTTCCCCTTATTTTTTTTTTCCTTTTATGGGATGACCTAGGAGATTGGCCAGAAAAATAAAAATTTCATTCTTCTACTTCTCTGTTTTGGTAACAGTAATGCAATACCAAAATAATTTTGTGTTAAAGATAATTGTTTTATATTCTTTATGGGCAATTTTCCAAGAAATTAACAGGACTTACTGCGTTGTAATTGTGTGTACTTAAAATCCAAAGGCTTGTTTATGTATCATGCACAGGGTTGTTTGGTAAAACTGTGGTAAAACAAGAAACCCTCATGACTTTTGCTCCTTTGAACTATTTGCTTCTCTAGCAAGGAAAATAATTCTTGGTTCAGTCAAGAATAGCAGCGCTATTATTTATTCCATTAACTCTGATCCCATCATACCTAAGGTTTCAAAACTGAGAGAAGCAAATTAAAGAGTATTAAACAAAACACACACACATACACACAAACATTTTGTGTTTATTTAGAATTTTCATCAGCAATTGTCATGGACTTCTAAGCTATTGATTTGTGAGGCCGTATTTTCCCTTAAGCTTCTGAATATTCTGTAGTTCTTAGTATCCTCTCATTTTTTAAAAAATCCCTTTCTCTTCTGTCACATTTTCAAACTCTCTTTCTTTCAATTCTCCACTGGGGAATGGGATCTCATCCATATCATGTGGTGGATAATGGGATTTTAATGAAGTGATAGAGCAGACCAGCTAACACTGGCTCTCCTTTGTGAAAAGTCTTTCCAAAAAATGCTGCTGGTGTCCAGCCTTCTGACATGACCTGACCTGTTCATTTAATTTTTACAGTCTAAATTTTTCTTTTTTATTAACAGTTTTACAGTACAGTGGGGTAGCTTTTATAGCTGGAAGAACAGTCAGAACTGTAGCCTTTTCTTATAACACAGTTGATGTTTTGTATCTGCCATGTGATGTGATGCAAGAGAGGATGCTTTTCCCTTCCCTCCCCTATCTGCCCAGCACCGTAGTTGATTCCAGCAGTATCTTTAAGTTGCAGGGAGTATTGCCTTTGTCTTTGATGACTTACATCTACTTAAAACCTCAACCACTGCATGTCCTGGTTTATGCTTAAAAGTACTTCACTTTTTTTTCTTCAAATGATGCAGCTACATTCCACATGTTTGAACTTTCGTTAGATCATGTCATATTACAACAATGTCCAAGAAATCCAAATCATTATCAAAAGGAAATTTAATTTTATCAATATATATTTAATTTTACCGTATATATGTATCTTCTGCCCACTTCTCAATCTCACTGGCTATCCATGATAGCTCTGCTTTCCTGGATGAGTTGTGAGGAAGAAAAGCCATTGTTTGAAGGGAAGTGTGCCTTTGTGCACGTCTCACTGCTGTTTCTATACTGGAACAGGAACAGCCCGCCTTACTTAGATTATGTACTCTGCTAATTGATACTGCTACACTCTGTGGTCCATCTGTCATTCGAGTTGGGAGCATAATTCTGTGGTGACAAATGGTTGGGTGAGATTCTTATCCCCAGTCTGGCCATATCATACCTAGGAAAAGAGCTGCAGCTGCGTAAGACCAGATGTAGGAACTGAAGAAAAACTAAATTGTGAAGTATGCAAGACTGAAATTGAAGTGCAAAGCACGCTTCTGTTGTAACATGGGCAACATTTCAGAGTTGTTTGAGTTCCACTGGGGACGGTTTCATGGCATTTTATGATAAGCTACTACACTCATGACACTTTCCTCTCTGGTAGCGGTTCATGACAAGCGAAAGAGAAAATACGGTGGTTCAGAGGCATCTTGCCTACTTTTTCCTTAAACTGTATGTTGTGGGATGCAGATCTGAAAAACACAACATACCGTCTCTCTCATGATCCAAAGTGGAACCACCATCTCTTCCTCATGCATTGTAAGATTAAATTTTGGTCTGGAGTATGACCATCTTAGTAAAAAGATCACATGACATTATTTTTTGTGATTTTGAGAGTCTAAAGCTTGTCCTTTCCAACTTCTTGTTCTCATGTATTTTTGTGCCTGTGTGTTTTAAACCTATTTCAAGCTTCTGCTTGAGTCCTTGCATTATTAGGAATGAAGAGCTCATGCAATGAAACAAACAGTTCTAAAACACAGCTTAGACATAGTTAACTTGCAGTGAAAACCATATAAAACACCTATTCTAGACACAACAGTATATAAATGGTCATTTATATAGTTACTCCTTTTGTAGGAGTATTTTTATAGCAGTATTGGGAACTCTGAAAAGTATTCTGGGTTTGTTACTAGCCTATCAAATGTTTGTATGGGAGAAAAGGTACAGAAAGGGAGAGCGTTCTGAGTGGTGATATGGGGATCTACCATGACACTGGGAAGAAATTTGGGGAGTGGATGAACCAAAGACCATAGATTAAAAGGAGGAAAATAGATACTAGGGAATTCTTACAAAATGTGTGTTATTACACTCTCTTTTGCCTGTTTTGGCAACTGGCAGCCATGTGCCACTCAGGAGAGTTTAGCTAAAGCAAGGAGTAGCAGAATAGGATCTGGAGATATCTATTTCATGTCCTCCTCTGTGCTGGGTTTTTTTTTAAATATTAGCACATTAATAAGATCAAAACAGATGTTCCCTGAATACAAATAATACCTATCGCTATGTTAAATTTTTAGCAAGAGACATTTAGTTTCATGACCTAATATTACCCATTCTTCAATTGCTATATTTCAGACAGTATTAAAATATATCTCTACTGGCAACAGTGGTCTGTAACTATAATTATTTCTTGATTTTACTGTCAAGTCACACAAGTACTGTTGGCTCTGATAGCTTCAGGTCATGCACTGCTGTAACATGGGTCAATTAGGTCAGAAGAAGTAGATTCTTTATTCCTCTAAATGTTTTCGAACTGAAAATTATGATAGTAATAGAGTAGAGGATTTCAGGCATCTACATATTTGCAGTTAATCCCTGAACAGGAGTAAAGCTCATGCAAAAAACTGGATAAATTTTATTATACTTTTTTTTTTCCTTTTGAGTTAGGATTATGGATCAAAAAATCCTGAAACATGGTCTTGTAATATGATATAATTCATTTTAGTTGCCTTGACCTTGGAGATGAGAGGATGAAGGTAACTAACCACTGCAACAATTTATTGAGAGACTTAGTAGGATATCGATCATTTTGAAGTCAAGTAAGAGATTTTGATATTTAGAATATCAGAGCCAACTGTGAAAAATAGGGAGGGAGATGAAAATAATTAGTTCATTCCTAGAAATAGATTCTAGGTTTTACTGGCATATAGTCTGTCTGCTGGCTGTAATGTGCTAAAGTTCTTTTACAGATGGTTGCCTTCATTTGATCGAACTAAATTGAGCTTTTTTATTTAAAATACATCAAATCAACTATACAAATAGACACAACTCTTCCTTTGTTCCTTTATAAAGAAGCACTTGAAGTGGCTGATCAAAGGGACTACAGATGCCTTTAGTGAGGATCTGGTAAATCAAGCGATGATTTTTATGAATGGATTTCTCTGTCTGACTTTTATTTTAGTTGTTAGTTTGTTTGTTTAATGTAGCAGAATTCCATTAGTGAAAGCTCTGCATTTCTATGTCCTCTGCTATATAATGTTGATCTTGTGAAATTGTGTTTCATAAATATTTTACTAACTGTCTGACTTTATCTTAAGGATGTTTTTGCCCAGATCATCTGTGAAACCTGAAAGACACCCTTTAATTAAGATCTTAAGCCTTTAACAGAGCATGAAAGGAGTCTTAAAGCACTGACCTGAGAACACTGGAACTGTCCTCACTATAGAATTAAACCAATGTGCTTTTACAAATCAATATGCTATTGAATTCTGGAGAAAACAGTAACAGGATTTTCTGTGTTATAATCATTATGGTTAATCATTTAGTAATTCCGTAGAATCATAGAATATCCTGAGTGGGAAAAGACCCACAAGGATCATCAGAGTCCAACTACTGGCCCTGCAGAGGAGACACCAAGAATCACACCATGTGCCTGGGAGTACTGTCCAAATGCTTGAACTCTTGTCAGACTTGGTGCTGTGACCACTTCCCTGTGGAGCTTGTTCCAGTGCCCAACCGCCCTCTGGGTGAAGAACCTTTTCTTTAATATCAAACCTAAACCTCCCCTAACACAACTTCAGACCATTCCCTCGGGTTCTGTCACTGGTCACCACAGAGAAGAGATCAGTGCCTGCCCCTCTTCTTCCCCTCACAAGGAAGTTGTAGACTGCAATGAGGTCTCCCCTCAGTCTCCTCCAGGCTGAACAAACTGCTCCTCATACGGCTTCTCCTCCAGACTCTTCACCATCTTCATTGCTCTTCTTTGGACACTCTCTAACAGCTTAATATCTTTGTTATCTTGTGGTACCCAAAACTGCACAAGGTGAGGCTGCCCCAGTGCAGAGCAGAGCAGGACAATCCCCTCCCTTGACCAGCTGGTGATGCTGTGCCTGATACCCTCCAGGACACAGTTGGCCCTCCTGGCTGCCAGGGCACAATGACTCATGTTCAGCCTGCCATCGACCAGGATCCCCAGGTCCCATTCTGTGGGGCTGTTCCCCAGTCTGCACATATGTCCAGGGTTGCCCTGTTCCAGGTGCAGAATCCAGCACTTTTCCCTTGTTAAACTTCATATGGTTGGTGATTGCCCAGTCCTATAATCTGTCGAGGTTTCTCTGCAGGACCTTCCTGCCTTCGAGGGAGCCAACAGCTCCTCCCAGTTTTGTGTCATCTGCAAACTTGCTCCATGTCCCTTCCAGTGCTGTGTCCAGGTCATTTATGAAGATGTTGAAGACCTCAGGGATGGAGCCCTGTGGAACTCCCCTAGTGACAGGTTGCCAATTTGGTGTCACCCCATTCACTGTCATCCTCTGTGCTTGACCCGTGAGCCAGTTGCTCACCCACAACATGATGTGTTTATCCAGCTGTGCTGGACATTTTGTCCAGA